TTGTCAGGAGCTAGGGACAGGTGATGTTGGGATGTTGTCAGGTGGCGTTGAGGTGTTGTCAGGAGTAAGGGACAGGGGATGTTGGAATGTTGTCAGGTGACGTTGAGGTGTTGTCAGGAGTTAGGGATGGGTGATGGTGGGATGTTGTCAGGTGACGTTGAGGGGTTGTCAGGAGTTAGGGACAGGTGATGTTGAGGTGTTGTTAGGTGATGTTGAGGTGTTGTTAGGTGATGTTGAGGTGTTGTTAGGTGATGTTGAGGTGTTGTCAGGAGTTAGGGACAGGTGATGTTGGAATGTTGTCAGGAGTTAGGGACTGACTTAAGAGTGAGGCAGAGCGTCCGAGAGATGACATACCAGTATTGTGTTGTGGTATGTGTGTCAGTAGTACAGATGGCTCGTAAAAAGTACCACTGATATTTTAATATTTTTCTTCATTATTCTCCCCATTTTATTGATGGCCAACAAGACTTTTAAAAATTGACCATGTATAAATGATTGAGGCTATAAAGTCTGGATTGTGTGGTTTGATACACCTGTTGTAGCGTGGAGAGTTTATAGAGTATTGAAGTATCTTGGCTATCCAACCGTCAATCTCCCTGTATAGGACATCATAGATATTACCACTATAAAACTCAATAGAAACTTTACGCACCTGAAAAATGCTGGCTCCACTTTCTACTTAAAGTCAAACTGACATGAAAAATCACATTCAGTCATCTTGGCAACTTTCCATTTGGTGTGTGATATTGTGGAAATTAGGAGGTTTATGACATAGGAATTTCATTGTGTGCAGACAAATATTTCCTCCTAGTCTACCGAGTATAAAGAATTGATTAACCAGGTATCTTTACGACAGGCTTACGTGGAATAGTTAAGCAGATCAAATAGTTATCTCCCTTTAATATTAGATAACATGTGACAGAGTTAAAAAAAATAGATAAAAGTCTGGAATAGTTAAGCAGATCGAATAGTTATCTCCCTTTGATATTAGAAAGCATGTGACAGAGTTAAAAATTAGATAAAAGTCTGTTATAATCTTTTGCTTTGAGTTATATAATAGAAATCTTGAATGAATGCAGCCCCTTAAGATGTTTTTTAGATAAATGTTTGTACCTCAACAGCACTTTGTGAATGCACTGTGTAGAGCTGTCTACCTTCCCTTAGACAACGCGTTCATTGTCCACATAGTGAGGTAACCTGCTTGTCTGTCCATTAATATGTCCAGTTCAGATAACATCTATGTACAGGCACACACACCGTATTCAATCTCCTAAGCAACTTAAATGCACAAAAATAATGGACATAAAAATAAGTGTAAAACTATATGTTGTGTTTTCAAATGATCTTTATGTTATTTACAATGCTGTGTGTAAGGATATTAATTGAATAGAATAATTTAATTTGGGGCAGCAATCTTTTTGTAGTTTTACCGCTTTTTTTACCCACAATCAGGGGTGACCTGTTTTCTAGAGAAAAGATATTCAGATTTAACAGATGATATTAGACACATTACTGGCCGGACTTCATTGTTGTCTATCAGGAGTCAGGTGTTGAACAAGTGTTCCTTTTTATGTATAGAGTAATTATGAATCTAGTAAGAAATTTGAGTCGTGTCTATTCAATGTAGACTTGCCCTCGCTAAAGTTTGTGTAGAAAGTGTCCAAATTCCATCAATGCATACATCAGAGTGAGTTTAAAATTTGACATTGGGTATTATATGGGATTAACTAGAATTACATTTCACCTGACCAAAACTATGTACTTACCACCTGTAATCAAATACTTCTCTGGTAGAAAAGTTTGAGATACATACCGACAGAAACAGTGTTCTATTACAGTTGTGACATTTTGTGATGGAAAATCATTTTGGACGAAGTGACATAGCCTGTGACACGAAACCACCATGACAGGAAAAGGATGCCATTCTTTATGGCCTGTGTGGGTCATTATACTGTTTGATCAGCTAGCTTTTACTTTAGCTTGGGATGTTTATGTTAATGGCATTTTTAAAGTTTTCAGTGTGAAAATGTCATTAAACACCAAACAGTGAATTCACTTGAGGTAAAAAAAAAAAAGGAGTAAAAACGCAACAGAAAATGAAAGACAAGAAAGCAAAGCCAGTACAATGATGTATACACCTTCCCCTTGTCAACATCAGAAATATATATATGTTTAATTTTATATTTATCTCTATCATTTTCATTAAATCGCAGGAAGTATTATTTTCATTAAATCGCAGGAAGTTATCATACTTTGAATATGTAAAAAGGGAGATGCATTCAACACTAATGTTATAAATGTGCTATGTTGGTGGGATAGACAAGAGGGCCCATCATAAAAGCTAAATTTAGGCGAATATTTTTTGCAAATTTATTCTCTTTTTTTTTCTGTTTAATTTTACTTAATTGCTGCACATATAGAGTTCCATTGTTTAGATCTGGTTATCTCCTCAGTCAGTTTGACACACCAGCTTTGCTGGTTAACCTATAATAATGAATGGATTCCCATTGAATACTTCCTTTTTCCTTTTTCACAAGCATGGCAGAATACTGATATATATTTCATGAGTGCAGAGCGTAAGTGATAATGTCCGTATATTCTGTCATACAACTGAAATATGTATGATATTCAACATGAAAACCATTGAAATTTCTATTTATTACATTTTTGAAAGAAAACAGCAGATGTATTGTTACATCCAAAAAGTAATGTTATTTTTTATGACAGGTTCTAATTTATGATGTCACGTTTTAAAACAATGATGTACGTGCGCCATTTTGAACGGGTGACTCCATACAATTTCACAGTTTTCTGCTATATTCCTGTATGAAGGTCACTGTTGCTAAAAATTGAATGCAGATATATTGTAAAAATATATAGCATTGCCCTTCCTGTGTTGATTTTGTTGGTAAATGGTATTTTGTGGATATCCTATATAAATTACCTTACATTACATGGATCCTGAAATACAGGTGGCTCTCGGTCAAGGTCAAGGTCACCATCAGTCACTTTCACTACGTCAAATAAGGCTACCTTTTGTTCTGTCGCATGGTAGTAATTGATACCTTGTGGGTTGTCTACATGGTAAATAAGGACACATTATCAAGGTCACATATACCAAGATGGCCACCATATCATCCGCTTGGATAAGAGAGGATTAAAACCAGTTTTGTTGTTCTGAATTTTGGAGAATATTGTAAGTACAGTGTGACCTAGTGTTCTAGTTTGTTTTCTAACAGTTTTATCAGTTTGTTTTCTGGTTTGTGAGCATTACCTTCATGTGAGTGTAATCGTATGGACTTATGAGATTTGGGTATGATGTTTTGATTTCTAACTCCTTTGAGTAAATGTTGCACTGGTCTGCTTTCTGACATGTAAGAATGTCACATGGTGATTCCTTTATGCTTGAGTATCTGTTGTTGCTCCCTCTGTAGGAACCAGTGCTGTACGACTAGCAGTAATTACCTTCAGCACCACTTCCACACAGTATTGGGTGACTGTCACCCTGTCATGGGACAGTGGATAGGTCCAAGGTACACAGGCAGCCATTGTTGGTCTGTGATTGGGTAGGTCAGAGTTTATCTGTCCAGTCAGAGCTCTCGACCTTCATGTAAGGGTACCAGCACAACCTTAGTGCTTGCGTCTCATTGTTTAGTGAACAAGATCAGGTCATTAGTACAGTGCTTTAAGACACTGCACGCTTTCAGTGATGAAATTCCTTGTTTGAATTTTAAATCCAACTCTTTTGAAAGATAATCTTGCTTGCAGGGTTTTTTTGCAAGCTAAGCAATGTATTCTCTAACTATTTTAAGATTATCTCTAAAGGATCATGTATTCCAAGTCAAAGAGAAAATTGTTGATAATGGTATAGGGGCAGATTAATATCCATTTATTTCCCTAACTGTAGGGAAACAAAGCATCCTGATTCACTACTTACAAGGGCTATACATATTTCATTATGCCAAAAATTGAATAAAAACCAATAACATAATGAGACTGAAATACATCCATGTCAGGTTTTGGCATATTGCTTCATGTGATATTATTGTGATCTTGAGTTTAAGTTGTTCCATTTCATCCTAAATTATGAACTCTTTCCCCAGTTGTCTTGTCAGCTCACTCGCGCCTGTGGACTTTGCTTAAATGAATACTTCTGTACTTACTCATTGATCTCCAATGAAATGTTAACTTAGTTTAAATCCTATATATGTATACTATAAGTATACCCCTTACAGAGTTGTATTGTAATCAGGATGTCTGCTCTCCCCTCTTTTTGTAGAGAAAGTTTTGCTTTGAGAACATCTCCATAAATGCTGCATAGATTATAATGAAACATCATACACTTCATCTATATGCAAGTTAGTTTTGAATTTAAAGATTATTTTTCTAATTGTGACTTGTATTAAATTACAACCAAAGGGAAATCCTAAGGTGGTACGGGGTTGGGGTATTAGTTAACCTGTTGCGTACAGTCCTAGTTGTGTATAAAATCCTCTTCAATAATTTTGTTGTTCATTTGGAATGGTATTGTATATATACCTACAAAATGTGCTGACATATAGAACAGTGAATGTATAAAAACCCAGAACAAGCGAAGTCAAGTACGTTTTTTGTAGTGATTCACAACAAAGAGGTTGTTAAATGCTGATTGGTATCACAAAGGTAAATCTGGCCAGGTAAGAGGTGACAGGTAATTTGTCGGGGGATTTGGAGACAGCTAATGGACTGTGGTGCAGAGAGAAGTTGGTCTCCTCCCCCAGACGACAAAGCTCCTCACACTTACATTATCTCACCACCTTTGTTTCTGCCCCATAAGCGATGAACTGTTTGACTGATCATTGGTTAGGTGCACACTGATACGATTTCCAGGTCTCTTTGTTGTTAACTAAGATTTAGCTAGACAACTTCCCTTGTAAAGGAAGTAGCCTCATCTCCTATGAACCTCGACGAAAACTAGAAATATATCGGGAGCATCGAGCCGATAACTCGAGCCGATTGTGATAGGGATTTCCTCTGTCTGACAAGTCGTAGCTGGGGATGAGAACTTGTTTTCTCTCTGTGACTCGGTGTGTTTTCACCTTAGAGGCATAAGACGTGTCCAGTACTAATATATAGCAATACACAACCTGATTTTGTAAGTTCGGCATTATCCCTGTGTACGTAAGGATTTGTGCGGTATAGATGAACAGGTAATTACTGACGAGCTTTGGAAGCTAGACACCTAACCATGACAAGATTCTCATCAAAAGGAAATGACTTGAATTACAATTAGATGTGGATAAGTTTATATAGGTAATGCAGACATTTAAACTGTGCCGTATATAGATAGCCCATATGTGGATGTGAATGGGCGACTGTAGCAGATATCTATTTTGGATGTTTCGTATTACATTCAGGAGTTAAGGAACATCTCACCTGAGAGGGAAAAGTGAGGCCAGGAATGCTTACCAGACTGTTTATTTAGATTATCAGGGGAGACAGGTAAATGTTGTACATATCATGGTGTATCTTCTCCGCCAGCTACCAATGAATGGCAGGTAGACTTTTAAATCTTATACAACTTACAGGACAAGGAAAGCTACTATGCTGTGTAGCGATCTGCTGATTACAGGTGTAGTACAGGTGTAACAGACAGTCTTACTCTATTGTTACACTCAACCCTCACCCTAAGTATTACAGCTAAACTGGACACTAGTCGTGTAATTGAATCAGTAAATGGGATACCAGGTGAGCGGTCAGCGAGAATACCTTCAGGTCAAGTCTTTCTTCAGATCATGTGAGACTTACCTTGAATGTTTCTACACTCTAATTCTTTAATATTTAAACTTGACCACTTGTAGGAACGCGTGTTTGCTGGATTAAAATAGTTCATTTGCTGCAGCGCACTTGGATAGGAATCCTTGCCAAAAAGAATTAAGTTTCATTTTGAGTTGAGACGATCGAGTGTAAGCCAGCTCCACTAGCCTCTTATTACCTTCATTGTTTTGTTGACTTTTTATTTACAACGTAATGGCATGCTATTTATGAAGTGTAAGGTGACGTTACACATTGTGGAGAATACTGGATATTTGTATATGGTGCTCAGCTGAGGGGGACAATCATGACGAGGAGGTAAATCGTTGTGGTGGAGGCAGTTGCCTGATTAGTGCTCAGGTATTCCTACAGTTGACAGGTATATATTGGAACCCTGGGGACAGGTGGGATGAACAAATTGTCACTAATTGTAAGTGGACATTAATGAACTGTTAGTGTTACATAGTGTTGAAGTCTTCATTTGGATCAAATACTTGGATACAGTACTGCAGATGGTGTACCACTCCAGAGGATAAGAATCGGCAATGCATTACCTGGATACTGTGAAAGGGAACTTGTTGGAGTATTTGGAAAGTATATAGAATCAAATATACAAACTTCAGTATTGTGAAGCTGGTGTTGAAATTGTGTTGTGGTCATTGTGTAGATAGTAAAACACAAGCTCAGGACAGTATTCTGTGGGAGGTTTCTGTACAGGATATACAGAGTAGTGTGACCAAGCCTACGGAATGCCATAATTACTGTGTTGTGTGGTGAACGAGAGGTGTGTGGAAGTAGGGACCATCGGTGTGATTCACATACAAACACCCTGATTTCATACCTTTTACCAGGCTCAATTCAAACTGTCTTTCTCAGAGTCAGCAAAACTGACCTAACCTTATGGAAATATGTATCGGTGAACAAGTGGAAAACTTACCTGTGTTAGGTAGGAACGCCTGGATTTAATTTCATTACTTGTCACCTGAGTTATCGACTGTATACTTGTACAGATTTCCTGCTTTAGAAGCGACCTGATTTATTTCACACCTGTCAGTTTGGTAGAGAGCTTTTTTGTCACAGGGATAACAATTCTTATTAGTCAGTCAGAGCATCTGGAAAGTTTTGTTCTCTGACTTATCAATCTGAGGAGTGGCTGGTAAAATAGTGTGTATCACTTTTAATTTAGTCAGTAACAAAATAATTTCCTTTAAGATATATAAAACTTCCAGCTGGTCTACAAACTCCTACTTATATCTTATCAAAACAGGACATGCTGTGTATCTATCAGGCTGGAAAAAATACTGAACAGGGATGTCATTTTATCGTGATCATGTGATAGGTATTTGGTGATTAGTGTGGCTCGTCAGACTGTTATGTCCTAGGATGAGTTTTTACATTTACAGGTAATCTATACCTGATAATAGCTGATTACCTGGAGATCTGCACACCTGACAGGCTTGGTACCACCACTCTGGTGACCAGATTAGCTGACTGACCACTTACCTAGTTTACACCTTTACTTATTGGGTATCCCTTTGTACCTCTGTTCCTACCTGGCAAACACAGCTTGGGATGAATACTTCTACAACAAAAGACACTTTTGAGACAAAAACCAGCATCTTGGAAACTTAGACACTTTATCTGGAGTGACATTTTTGGATATTTGTGTGTCAATATTTTAACCAGGAACAGCAGACTAGTTTATTCACACACAGGTATTGTATTTCAAGCTGCTGTTAATTTTTTTATGATTATACCAGTGTATGTGGTTACAGGATCTAAATCGAGTGGACAGGTGTATGTGGGTAGTGTGTAGATGTGGTCGCCTTTGTGATGGAAGTACCTCGTAATAGAGGTACCCCAGTGTCACCATGGATATTATATAAAATCATGTGCTACAAAACTGTTCCCACATTAACAAGGGCGCTTTGAGTCCTTTTAAGGGAACCAAAAATGTCACAACAACACTATCGGAATACTTTGTCATTAGGGGATCTAAAACCTTCCAATATAAATGACAGTCCAAATTTATCTCTTCGGAGTCTTCCTATACGTCAGAGACTTGGAGGAGAAATGTTCGGACGTGGAAGTGACGAGGACTCACTCTCCTCCTCCTGTGAGTTCCTGGACAATTGGTCAATTACAGGTAAACAATGGCTCCCAGACAGTTACAGCCTATCTGATCTTTCCCCAGTGTCTGCACCAGAATTCTCTCCACGGTCAAATCAGGTACGCATGCCCCACAGTCGTAAAAAAAGTCGAGCACCCCTTCCGCCTGGGATGCATCAGGGTCCTGTGAAGAAAGTGACTCCATCCAATCTCAGAGGAGATGATGAATTTGATAAAAAGAGACTCCTGAGCCAGTCAGTAGACATGGCCAAGTTGAATATTGAGCGCATGGATAGGATGAGATCAAAATCCACCGACTTTCCTCTGAACATCAGTGGAAGAACTACCCCGGACCGTGTACCAAAATTCTCCACCAGTACGAGGTCCAAACTGAGGGCAGCCATGAGGTTTGGATTAAATTCACCGTCTGCAAAAAAGCGTCAGAAGACAATCATAACAGTGGATGGAAATACGGGTAAACAACCTCGTGCACGTAGAGTAGCGACTGTCAGCCCCCCAGAGATACCACCCTACGAAATCGGCTTTGTGATCATTTTGGAAGATATAGCACCAGGTGTGGAATTTGAGGTAGGTACTTTTTATCAGGATGTTTACTCGCCTCCTGGATGAGTCCACTGTCATATATATGTGATATGATGGTCAACAAGTAAAATAACAGGTCTTTTAATTGAACTTTTTGTGAGATTCTCAAAGCCTTATTCGTGAAAATTTGAAGTTTTTATTTTGAAACATTGAGAAGAAACTCAAATTTTTCTAATTTTTTTTTGGTACTTTTTGGTGTCCAAACAGTCTTGGAGATTAGGGAGTTATTGAAATTCAGGTACCAAACATTTCATTGATTACGTTGATTGGCTGAGACACATTGGGGTTTACTAAAGTTCAAATGACTGGTTAAGTTATCAAATGGAAGTTTTAGAATTGAAGATAGCTGCAGTAATTTCTTATCATGGTTGTGCAAGACATTATGGCTCTATCTCAGCTCCTATTGGGCTAACTTCATCCTTTGTGGTATACATTGGGGTATTTCTGCATTAAATGACTGATTAAAAGTTTTTTCCAAGATGGCTGCATGACCTTGACTTCTATTGCACTGTTGGCACTGTAACTTAGTGTTGAAGGTTTAGATAATTCTTCACAGTTTTGAACAAATATAAACCTGTTCATCCACTTGTTACACATCCCCGAGTATCCACCCCATCACAGCCATGCTCCATCTTCCGTGGTGGTTAATGGGATCTGAGTGTGCCGGGTATTGTGTAGCTCCATCAACTGTGGTACATATAGGTAGTAGATGTATACTTGTTTACAATGTTGTTTCAGCCTGCTGCACTCCTTCCCTTAATTATCTTGCTTTGTGTCTATTCAGGAACTTTGAAAAAAAGTGCTTTATCAGCGAGAATGAAATGAGGCATTCTGTATTTCTGCAACTTTTATACTTACAATGTTTCACTCCTTACATTTATTAGTGATATCTTATATTGTGTATATTCGGAAATTTTGAAAAGAAAGTGCTTTATCAGCAACAGTGAAATGAGGCATTCTATATTTCTGCAACTTCTACACCTACAAGGTTGTACAAGGCTACACTCCTTACATTAACTATCTTACGTTGCATATTCCAAAACTTTGAAAAGAAATTGCTTTATCAGTGAGAGTGAAATGAGGCATTCTGTCAGTCCTACGACTACTAGATTGGTGGTAACAGTGATATGTATCAGTTCTCAAGTGGTTGCCTCAGATAGTTTATGATTTTATTATTGACATTTAAGGTTTCACAATGATGCATGCTGGATATGTACCTATCGTAATTAAAGACAGGGGCGATGGGTTTACCTCGGTGATTGACATGTCACTTTGTTGGAAAATGAAAAGATTGAAGGTTAAAGCAAGGTAAAAAAATGAAAAGCCATTAAAAATCATTTGTAATCATAACAATGTGTTTTGCGTGTTTTGGCCCTTGTTGTAATGGTAAAACAAGCTAGTCCCTGGCTGAACCTGACATATTTGAACTCTTCCAATGCAACGGTTGGAATAGTTCAATATGTAATTTCAGGGGTGAATGAGTTATCTGTTTGGGTGGTGTAATGATCAGAGTTCAAGCAGAACCATGCCTGCTAAAAAGGTTGTGAGAAACGTATAAAAGGTTCAATTCAAATAAGTTCACACAATACATTTTTTTTAATATCTTAATTTGCTTTGTCTTTGTAAGAAATTAAAATCCATATAATGCTTGTTTGTGGTTCATGGTGGTGGGCGGACATTTTTACACCCCTTGGTAAAAAGCTTTCATTTGTTGGCGATCCCTAGTGACCATTGTACATCATTTGCTCCTATAAGTCATTTTGCATGCTTGAAAATTCTCTTTCTACTTTTAAATGACATGACATTACAATAATTGTGGGCGGATGAGTTTTCACTTCGATTGCAGAGTGCATCTAATCATGACCCTATTTATGATGACGTCCTTCCTTTTATGTGTGTCAATCATTGATGGGGTTAAATTTATGACGTAAGCATCAACTTGCAACTTTGTTTTTTCATGGGATTTTTATGATAGAATTCATGAAAATGAATTTATGTCAGATTTCTGTCCTTTGTCAGATATCTTGGTAGTTACTTCCTTCAGTATAAACGTTGAGGTCTATTTTGGTAGCCTGAGCTGTGTCACTTTGTCAGATATCTTGGTAGTTACTTCCTTCAGTATAAATGTTGAGGTCTATTTTGGTAGCCCGAGCTGCGTCACTTTGTCAGATATCTTGGTAGTTACTTCCTTCAGTATAAACGTTGAGGTCTATTTTGGTAGCCCGAGCTGCGTCACTTTGTGTAAGTAGCAGTGTCCATGGTGATGACTTATGTGTACGTGGTCATAATTGGTAAAATACCAACATATGTCATCCGTGTAGTATTTGTCGTATTTCTACACGAATCTGTCAGTAATTTATGAAGATATGAATTAGGCATGCTGTTTACAAAATTAACATATTTCTCGCGTAATGAGTAACTTGTAAGCTGTTGACTCCTGATTCTGTTTATTACATTTCTGATGAATATTTGAAATATTTTACTAAACATGACCATAGTCATGTACACTAATAAATCTTCAGTCAAAATTGCTTCGTAATCGCATTTCATTGGTAAAACCAACAAGCCTAGCTGTCTTTCAACATACTTTCCAACCTTTCGAAAATGTCCATGGGGGAGATTCGGCATGCTAAAATCTAAAACATAAATAGCCCTAGAGACAAAATAACCCTTTAAAATGACATTTTTGAGTTGTTTAATTTGCTTTGCTGATTATCATCACCTCCTCAGCCAACACCATTACACCAGAGGTCAGAGGTCAGGGCGTGACCTGATGGAATACTCCATTTTCTGCATATAAAGTTTGCAAAGTTTATATGGCAAGGTATGCCAGGTAATTGGCCCACAAGTTCATTTACCGGGTTTCAATTTCACTTTCTTATACATGTTTAACTTTCATCCCTGCAATAAGCCCTTACTTTGTTCCTGCATTTCACAGTGACCCCTTATTTCAGGATTATAAACCTAAGAAATAAGTTGCCTAAGTTGTAATGGAGTTTTGATGTTCATGAAGCAATGTCTTATCAAGGACTCGGATATAACATCATGTTGAACAAGAATTGGCAATAAGCATGCTTGTTGTAAACATGATATACTATGTGTGTGGTTTGAATGCCATTAACCTAGCTTTATGTGGTTGATATTCAACTGTGGCACAGAGTGTTCACCATGATTTAACTATGGTCTGGTGGGTGTAGGTTAGAATTCGGGAGTCTTCGGGGGGGGGG